TCTCTCTCTCTCTCTCTCTCTCTCTCTCTCTCTCTCTCTCTGCCTCAATTTCCCAAAACATAAAACGGAGATAAGCCAGGCATAGTCCTGCATGCTTATAATACTAATACTCTGGAAGGGTAAGGACTGCAAGATTGAACCCAGCCTAGGTAACTTAATGAAAAAAAAAAAAAAAAAAAAAAAAAAAAAAAAGGAAAATAGCTAGTTGAGGGTTAGGGAAGGCTTATACAAGGTATTAAATGTCTGATGCCTTGTTAGGAACATGCTCAGGATTTAATACATAGTAGCTGCTTCACATGGTGGTGCACATCTGTAATCCCAGCATTCAGGAGGCTGAGACTGGAGGATTACTTGAATCTTATGATGTAGAGACTCTGATTATCCCCATTTTTCAAATGGGGAAACTGAGGCACTGAGAAATTAAAAAATTTGCCAAGGGAATTGGGAAAAGTGAAGTTTAAACCCAAGTTATCTGGTTCCAGAATCTAAGAGCTGTACTACTTACTGAGCCATAAGGCAAAACTAGCTAAATACCAGCTTGACTTCAGTATCGCTTAATTTCCAGATCTCCTCTAGCGCCTTATTCAAATTTATCCACTCTGGGTTTCCGCCAGGGATGGTCATTGAACAGATGCACTGGGAGGATCCCTCAGCAGCAATACCAATTGTAGGTCTAGGGGCAGATAGCTGTGATTGTGACCACCCCTTGAGAAGTTGAAGTCTGTCAGTGGGGTTGAACTTAGCACACACAATCTGTCCTTAGTATACTTTCCTGGGGTGAGGACCTGCTGCTTTCATCAGAATATCAGGGGAGCTGTGATACCCCTCCCAAATGGAAGAAGATGTTAGTCTTTGTTGTGGTGGTGGTAGTGTTACTGGATTTCAAAATCATAGCCTTTGAACTGAGCTACATCCCTAACCCTTTGTTTTAGTTTGAGAGGATCTCACCAAGTTGTTGAGTTGCCCAAGCTAGGCTCAAACTTTTGATCCTTGTGCCTCAGCCTCCCAGAGTTGTAGGATTGCATTGCCTCTATGCTTGGTCAAAACCTCTGTCTGTCTGTCTGTCTGTCTGTCTGTCTGTCTGTCTGTCTGTCTGTCTATCTGTCTATCTGTCTATCTGTCTATCTGTCTATCTGTCTATCTGTCTATCTGTCTTGCCTTGCCTTGCCTTGCCTTGCCTTTTCTTTTCTTTTCATTCTTTCATACTGGGGGATTGAATCCAGGGACACTCTAATACTCTCCTTCATCCCCAATCCCTTTTACTTTTTTCTGAAAACAAGTTTTATTTAGGTAAGTGCCTAAGTACATTATATAATTTAGTTCTTTATTTTGAGACAGGATCTCGCTAAATTGCCTGGGCAGGACTTTGTACCAGCCAGTGTTTTCCTACCGCATGCCATGCCCGTCCTGAAACTGGGTGTGGTGGTGCACGCCTATAATCCCAATTCTGGAGAGGCTGAGACAGGAGGATCACTACAAGTCCAAATTGCATAGTGAGACCCTGTACCAAATAAATAATTTTTTTTAAAAACACCATAAGCTATACAAATGTATATGAAATTATAAGATTGGCTTATGATAGTCAGCCACAGAATTGGACAAGAAAGTGCACAGAGAGTGTCTGCACACCGGAGACCAAAGGTTTCAGCACAAGGTCTTGAGCTCATTGCAGTGTCCCATGTGAGTCCCTATCAAGAAGCCAATGACGGGGCCACGGAGATGGCTCACTAGAATAAGTGCTTCCCTGGCAAGCGCAAAAGCCTGAGTTCAATTCCCGGTTCCACGAAAAAGAAAAAAAAAAAAAGAAGTCAATGGGTCTGCGCCAGAAGGCTGAAGAGTCTACACTGGAGGACTAAAGAGTCTACACACCAGAAAGCTGAAGGAGTTGAGGGAGAAGCCACAGTGTCTGCACTGGAAGCCAGGTGATGACATCCAAGCTGAAGGTGAAGATTGAAGCTCTTCTGGGGCACAGAAGCACAACTGTCCTTCCTCGTTTCCCCTTCGTGAGCCTCCCCAGGCCCTGGTTCTTCTCCACCCTAGGATATAGAACTGCTAGACTTACTTAGTTAAGATTCTAAACTTCTCAAGTTGACACAATCAACTATTACAAGGGCAGGTGTGGGGCACATGTTGGGAGGTTGAGGCAGGAGGAGTGCTGTCTGTTGTAGAGCAGCCTGGGTTACAAAGTGAGTTCAAGGCCTTGTCTTAGAAAGACAAATATATATATTTATAAATTGTCTTAGAAAGACTATATATATGTATATATATATATATATATATATTTTTTTTTTTTTTCTAAGTCAACTATTATTGACTTGAACTTACCATCCTCCTTAGTCTCCAAGAGCTAGCATTACAGGCACATGTCACCACACCCAGCTGATATTTTTCAATTTTAGAGAGAAAAAGGGTGAACAGCTGTTGGACCGTGATAGGCAACTATAGGCATAGTCCAGGAGTAATGTAGAAAGAATATGAATTTTCTGAGTGGGGTTAAAGAGTTTAGGGACTCAAACACAGATACTGAGACTTGGAAATAGCACAATTCGAAAAATAATAATTCTACTCCAGAAAAATTCAGGGTCAGGAGTATGGTTTGGTTGGTTGGTTGTTTTCTTTTCTTTTTTTTTTTT